GGGCTCTTTTTGGCATTTCGGGGGCTAAATCGCCCCGAGCCCCCGTGAATTTTGTTCACTGGTAGGAGTGTACTAGATGTGAACACCTTCTGTGTAGTGCAGATCACGCCCTTGTGCGTTGCTGAGGGTTATGAACATTTGTGGGCGGTTATTGCTGTGCTTTACCTCTGCTTTACTGCTGTGGAAAATTTAACACGGGTATTAAAGTTTAGTAATTGTGTCTCGTGTGTCATCGAATCTCACAAATTGGCATTTCTTAGCATTCCTAGCAGCCCTCTAAGATGTACAGCTGCAGTAGATCATCATAGCAGATTTTAGGAATGGGTTTAACAGATCACCCAAAGTAGATTCCAGGAACAGTTCTGCCACGTATTCCTAAATGAATCATAGAGTGAGAACGGCTTACATTGAGCCGAAGAGAGGGGGAAATTTGCATTTGAATAAAGCGCGAATAATGCTTTGTGGTCTAGACAAGTTGAAATATTGGTCATCCTAATTTGTTCAGTGCTTGGAAACGAGCGCTCGTGCCGGCTAGGTTTATCCGCACAACGACTAACCGTTCACCGGATTAGCACTGTTTGCGTGGATGTAGTGGTAACTGGAGCGCTCGTGCCGGCTAGGTTTATCCGCACAACGACTAACCGTTCACGGGATTAGCACTGTTTGCGTGGATGTAGTGGTAACTGGAGCGCTCGTGCCGGCTAGGTTTATCCGCACTGCTTTGATTAAGTGATCACGATGAGTTGCGGTGATTAACACGGTGTGAATGCGTGTTGATCACACAGGAAGGAAGCTTATCTCGGTGTGTGAGTGACGATCACTGTGTGCTGTGAGTGTGGTGATCACACGGTATGTGAGGTGATGATCACTGTGTGCGTGAGTGTGTGATCACACGGTATGTGAGTGATGATCACTGTGTGCGTGAGTGTGGTGATCACACAGTATGTGAGTGTGATGATCCACTGTGTGCATGAGTGTGGTGATCACAACGGTATGTGAGTGTGATGATCACTGTGTGCGTGAGTGTGGTGATCACACACGTATGTGAGGTGACGATCACTGTACGCGTGAGTGTGGTGATCACACGGTATGTGAGTGTGCGATCACTGTGTGCGTGAGTGTGGTGATCACACGGTATGTGAGTGTGACGATCACATGGTGTGCGAGTGTGGTGATCAAATGGTGTGTGAATGTGGTGATCACACAGTGCATTGGTTTATCACGGTTTGTTAGTTGTGGTTGATCATATGGTGTGTAGTTTATAATGGTGAGTTAGTGGTGTTGACCTTAAAGAGTCACTGTAGTGCCTAGAAATTCTAATTATCAACAACAAATAGCGACATCACTCTGCAAGATGCGATCGTTAGACGGACGCCCCCGATCTACGACGAGGGACGGCTGGCGCCACCTCGTGGCGGTCGCCGCGGCGACACGTACCCAGGTAGATGGAGCGCCTTGCCCATTCGCGCGGAAGCAGAACTCGCAGTCGGCCGAACAGCGTGCGTCGCCGGCGGCGATGAAGATCAGCTGCGTCCTGCTCGGCGTGCGTCTTGCTGCCCGTGACAACCGCCCCTCAGGAAGCGGCCCGCCCTTCGCTGAGATCGCCTGCAACGTGAGATAGATGCAGATATAGACGTGTGCTGGTAGGTTAGGTAAGTGGCGTGAGTGTTATGTAGGTAGGTAAATGGATGGAGATATAGATGCTGTGCTGGTAGGTAGGTAGGTGGGTGAGTGGGTGAGTGGTTATGTAGGTAGGTAGATGGATGGAGATATAGATGTGTGCTGGTAGGTAGGTAGGTGGGTGGGTGAGTGGTTATGTAGGTAGGTAGATGGATGGAGATATTAGATGTGTGCTGGTAGGTAGGTAGGTGGTGGGGTGTGAGTGGTTATGTAGGTAGGTAGATGGATGGGAGATATAGATGTGGTGCTGGTAGGTAGGTAGGTGGCGTGAGTGGGTGAGTTGTATGTAGGTAGGTAGATGGATGGAGATATAGATGTGCTTGCTGGTAGGTAGGTAGCGTGGGTGGGTGGGTGGTTGTGTAGGTAGGTAGTTGATGGAGATATAAATGTGTGCAGGTATTTGGGTGGGTGAGGATGTTTGCTAGGTATGGTAGATAGATGGAGGATATAAATGTGATGCTGGTAGGTAGGTAGGTGGCCCGTGCAGTGGGTATGTAGGTAGTAGATAGGATGCGAGATATTAGATTGTGTGCCTAGTAGGGTAGGTTAGCGTGCCACTCCCCCGCTGTGGGTTGAGTGATGCGTTATGTAGTAGGTAGATGGATGCGAGATATAGATGCTGTGCAGGTTAGGTAGTGTGACCATAGTGGATCGTGAGTGGTTATGTAGCGTGCGTAGATGGCATGGAGATATAGATGTGTGCTCGGTAGCGTAGTAGTTGGGGTGGTTCTACGTGAGTGGTTATGTAGGTAGTAGTATGGATGGAGATATAGATTGTGCTTGGTTAGTAGGTGGGTAGCCAATCCCGTGAGTGGTGAGTGCTGTTCATGTGGTAGCGTTAGATGGATGGAATATAGATGTGCTGCTGCGTAGGTAGGTGGGTAGTCGTGAGTGGTTTCGTGGAGTGCTGTATGTACGGTAGGGTATGTTTGCATGCGAATATAGATTGTGTGCTGGTAGGTAGGTGGCTAGGATT